TTCATAACGCTGACAAAAACAAGGGGTACCACATCCCCCCCCCCCCCGCTTCTTGCTATCGACGAAAAGAAGCCGGAATCAAAACTTGTAAGCTATCAAATTCCCCAGCGAATAGTGCAAGGTTAATCAAACATGCGAGAAGAAGACGAAAGCAGCCTTTACGCATTCTATTCATAAATTTGCACTCTTCTAAGTGTAAACAATACGCTCTCAAGCTTGATTTAGAGCCTAGAATAACTGCACTTTCAGTGTCAATAATAATAAATTGGGTGAATTTCTTGACGTAATTTTAGCTTTAAATGGAATCAGAATCGCAGGTTTTGAGCCAGGAAGAAAGGGAAACTTTGCAATTGCAGATACTATAGATTTTTTATTTTTTGATGGGCATTTTTGACATTCGTAAAAAATTTAGATAAGCAAAAAAAATTTGAGAGCCCGCTGTTCATAATCCTTTCAAAATTTGTTAGTGTAAATGATAAGTAGCCTAAGGCCCCGGACAGACTTCACGCGATTTGATCGTCGCGACTGAATCGCGACGAGACAACTGTTACAACATCATTCCATGCCGATCAACATGCATTTCGGTTGTGATACTTCTCCAGCCCGAAATTTTTGAATGTGAAATAAAAATGAATGGAAATGTCGGCGATTGAGTCGCGACGATCAAATCGCGTGAAGTCTGTCCGGAGCCTAACTTAGCCGCAACCAACCGTAATACAAAGAAGCTTTGCGAAAAGGAAAAATTGAGAACTCCGAAATTGTCCGCCTTTCTCAACATTTTTTCATAGGCCTCAGTGTCCCAAAAAATGGATTTTTTTTTTGATTTTCTGCGTACTGAACAGCATATTTTCAAAAACCGTTAACAGAAGGCCCACCCTTAAAGGCCGGGCATACTTCCACGATTTCAGTCGCGACGCGATTTGGTAATATTCCAGCTGTCCATAACTCACTATAAACACATTTTAAATCTACAGAAAATAGGGCATTTTATCAATCCGCGTAAGTTATACATACACGCTATGCATGTGTGGTTTGCTAGTGTTAGATCTGAAGACTTTTGGCGAATTGCCAAATCGCGCTACTAAAATTGCGTAAAGTATGCCCGGCTCTTTACGCGTACAGACATGAAGCAGTATCACTTCCTTCAAAGGAGATGCATGGGCAACAGAGTGATCAAAACGGCTACCCACTTTGAGACGCAGAAATCACAATCTAAGTGATTTCTGAGAAGATAATGAAGTTAACACATAATGTAGACAATTTCTATTCAATACAATAGCTATAATTTCAGGAGAACGCCTTCATTTGCGCTTAAACTTTGGCCAGAAAAGTGAGAGCAGTGCAACCAAATTCTGGTTTTGAGTGCGGTTGTGTGAAGCTCTATAGAAGTTCAACGAATGAGGCTAGAAGCCCGTTTTGACCACGCTTGGATCGAGCATGAAAAGAGCTTCTTGAAAGTATGCTAGGGAAAAAGTCGATGGAAAAAAGTTGCCCTAAAAGGAAGGCTAGAAAAACGCGCGCTACTTTTGCACCAAGCTAATAATTTCCAGTGCATATAATAACACCCTTAGGCTTCTATTTATATCAACGTACTATTCCAGTGACGTATAAAGTGCCGCTCTGTTGCTCTCCAATTACAGCTCTATTTTTGCTCGTAACAATGACGTTTTGCTATTTAGAGCTATGAAATTGTTTACTGCGTTAGAGCCAAGTGTGAAAATTACATGAGCGTGGCTGCTATGACGATGATGTCGGAAGAATATGGTAGAAGCTGCGAATAAATACGTAAATACGTACAAAGTAACGATAGAGGAAGGAAATATAATTTTTGGGTCTCTAATGTTATTCCATTAAAATTAAATTTTGATTTTGATTAAGGTTGTACGAACGGTTGTTTTCCGACCAGGGATATTCAAAGTCTTTTGAATATTTCTGATATTTTCTTGATCAAAAGCGCCGGGCATACTTCACGCGATTTCAATCGCGACGCGATTTGGCAATTCGCCAGAAGTCTTCAGATCCAATACAAACAAACTGCGCATGCATAGTGTGTATAACTTACGTGGACTGATAAAATGCCCTATCTTCTGTACAATGGAAATGTGCTTACAGTGATTCGTGGACAATTGGAATATTGCCAAATCGCTTCGCGGCCTAAATCGCGTGAAGTATACCCGGCCCTGAAGTATGTATATTTGCGAGTTTTAATCCAACCATTAATTTTATTTGATTTTTAATCTTTCTGGCAATGATTTGAATTGCAAAGATTGCTGGAATGCATAATAAAATAGAACATAATTTATACATGACAAAAAAGACTTTAACACGAATTCAAACTTTTCCTCGAGCATTTGAAAAATTTTTTTGCACTGAGACTTGTGGGCCAACCTGATAATTTTTAGAGCAGTTATTAGAGCTAAAAAATCAAACGATAAACAATAAAATTAAACCTTGTCGCCTAAAATCATCTTCATGAATATTATTCAATTCTTTTGAGGAAGAAATGGATAGTGAGGCACACAACTCTAGATCTAAAAATCAAAAAGGTTTTGTACGGCTTCATGTTTGCCAAAAAATCGTGAAACCCTAATTTTAACATTTAAAAAATGCCTAAATTTCTTCTACTACGTTATCAGAAGCTGAACTGAAGTGAATGAACTACAGCCTCGTTTTCACACATCCGAACCTAATTTATATCCTTCTCAAGCAGACAGGGAAGGGGACTGAAGAGTTTATTGCCTAGTAAGCACTGCCCGATAAATAGTGTTAGGCAGCCATGAGTGTGAGAACTCGGATAAGTGACGCATTAGATGAGTTTTTGGGTGTGTATTACTAGGGGTGAATATTCACTTCCTTATGGGGATTGGCAAATAAACCTACAAAAAATGCATGGATTACCCTAAGAGATCAATTAGCTTTATTTCAGGAGCCTCACCTTAGATTTGAGTCCTACAAGTTTTGCTCAAGCAGCTTTCTCATGTAAATAAATTTTTCTAAGTCTTCGATGCATTCCAAAAAGCCAATTTTTTGCTCATTCGATTTTTGACTGTGAATTTCTCAGATGCTGTTTAAAAAAAGCTCAAAACTTCTGAATTTCACATGAGCACTGAGCTATATGCATTTCTTGAAAGCACGCAACTAAACAAAAAACCCTCAAAAAATCTCCAAATAACCTAGTTAGTTGAATCAAAACCGCTTTCATCATAGAAAAGGAAATTATTTTGTTATTATTATTATCATTTTTTGTGAAATTATATTATTAGCTGATAATATTTTGTAGCTTCGAAAAATCACAAAAATCAAAAATCATAGCAATATAATTTTGAACAGTCTGTGTTTATTTCATAGCATCTTTTCCATTGAATTCCATAAAAAACTTTTCAAGAAAAATAATGCATCGCTACTCTGACAAAAAGTTTCCAAAACTCTCACTTGTTGATTTTTATATTTGGTAAAATTTATTTTGAAAAAAGTGGAAAAAAGGAAAGAGAAGAAAAGATAAAGTTATAAGAAAATTTGCAATACTCAAAATAGAAGTCCTATAACTCACTTCATAAAAATAGGAGTAGTTTTTATTTATTACGACAAAAATTGTGTGCCAGTCTGATATAATAAGCTTCATTTGCATTCAGACATGGATGTTACTCAAACCTACTTATGTCTTCATAGGGTCTCAAAGCAAAACTTCCTATTTTTCTTTCTTCACAACACTCAGGTACAGATGATGCAGCTTTTTCTTCATAAGTGCAAATGTGCTATAGCCATTTAGAGGCTTATGGAGGGTGTTTCAAAAAATATGCCTGGTTTGACTGCTATTGACTCTCTTGTCATGAGGTCTTTCAAAAAAAAATTTAGGTACCATGTAGGGCGTAAGGCTAGCATTCTGTAGAGCTGACTTCAACTGAGATTTACATGGAGCGATTTACCAAGCTCTCTTCGATACAGTAGGATTACAGTAGGAATTCGGAGCATAGGGCTCCACTGCAAGATGGGGTATTTAAAGAAAAGATCCAAAAAAACTAAAAAATTGTGTAACCAGGTTTTCACGCATGCTGAATTCAATACATAACTTTTTGCGCTTTCGCAGAACTATTTGAAGGGCGTAATCAATTTTTTGACGAATATAAAAACCGATTGTTACGGTTTATGTGGCATAACTTATGTATGTGAAAAACGTTGAGGTGAAAAGCAAGTTTCATATTTGAAATCGGTGACTCTCATTGTATTGTAGGAATTTTCAGCCTTTTTAGTATTCTAAAGATTAAATAAAGGCTTTACTAAATGCCAACTTCTCCTCAATGGTTTTACCGTAATCCTATAATAACGAAAAGAGAACGGTATCTACCTTCATGCTGTTGATCTAAGCTGAATCCAGCTCTACAAAACTTCTAAAGCTTCTTGAAAGACTCCATGACAAGAGAGTTATTGACAGTCAAACAGTAGGCACTTTTTTGGGAGGAGGGAGAGTTAGAAAAGTTGTATGAATTTTTTTTTAAAGAAGGGAAAGGCCCGTTGGCCCCATTCTGGAAAATGTGGGATGGTAATCAAAATCTGGCTGGGCCTAAAATCCCGAAAATTGGAGTATTTTGGCAGCCATGCTTCCAAAAATTCTTTCGCTAAGCTAATTAGAATCTGAATAATGCTGTTGCAGTAGATACTGAGTTTCAACCCCTTAGAACGTAAAAAAATTAGCAATTATGGTGCTCAATGCGGTGTATGAGCCGTTAAAATTCCCATTAATGGCATTAAGGCAAAGCGAAAAAGTTCATCCAAAGTAAGTTACAAAAAGAGATGCATTTCCGAAAATGAATTTTCGCGGTAGAGAAAAGCACAGCACAGAACCTAAATTTTAACAGAAAAAAACTTAATTGCTGAAATTGCTTCTCAGAGAAGGAGGAAGCGACACAGCAGCAAAGAAAGAGAAAATAATGCTGTGGTTGATTATAGGCTTTTGCAAGCGGCTTTGAAATGTGGGTAGAAATAATTGAAAGAAAAATTACCTCGTTCGGAGCCAGTCCTCATCAGATGCATATTCTGACGAACTGGCGATGGACTTAACGATCGTGCAGTACGTGGTGTTGAAGGAACAGTGAGTGAAAGCATATCTAAAATGATTTATATCGTAAGTAATATAATAATTTTTTGTAGAAAAAAATGATGGAGAAGAGCTATGGAGATTTTTCGGAGACTATGAAAAGCTTGCAGAAATCTAGACAGCGAGAAAGGTGCTAACAGATTTTTTAACAAGTGCTAGTAATATGAGAATATTTACAAAAAAGTGCCGGCTATGGTTGGCAAAAGGATGAAGAGTGAGGGGGGGGGGTGGCTCTAAATGAGCTCCAGTAATTTTGGTCCAAACCTCCACAATCGGCTGGCTGCAAAGAAACCACTGCGATACTTAAATTAGTTGATAAATTCTTCAAATGGCTTTAGTTTAACAGGCTTACAATCTGCAAATTCTTAGGTTTTGAATGTTGTAAGAAAAATTATATTTTTCTCTCAAATAAAGCAAAATTGGCTCATTCAAAAACGGCAATCAAAAACGAGGCAAGTATAATAGAAGTAGTAAGTAAACAAGGGAGCTGGAAACTACCCCTTAGTGAAAATGTTGGAAGCTAAAGTTCAAATTTTGGGATGACCCAATCGATCTGCGAAAATTCAAAAAAATGAGATTTTTAGCTTTTCTGGGGTTTCTATTTTTGGAGTCATCCCAGAGTATGTTATTTCTTGTATTTACCCAAATTTTTGTAGAATAATGATCAAAAGCAAACTATTAGGTTGTAAAGAAAGTTCCCGGGCACTTGCAAAATTTTTTTTTCAAATCGCTGTAACTTCAAGCAGAATGATTCTTTTCTAAAGCTCCAAACTTCATTGCAAAGACAATCTTGTCCACGACATATATTTGTCTTGCTGGCTTCTCAGCACCCCACTGCGGTCCACCAGCATGCGCAGAAGGGAAAAAGGTCGTCGCGAAAAGTGGCCTATTTGCGCAGGATTATCTCATGCAGGATGAGAGCTGGAAAGCTCAGATGTTGTAGTTATATAGAGTTCTGCCGGGGCTGTTATGGGGACCATTCATGTTTTTGAAGGGCTCCCTGCAAAAAAATTTTCCCCGAAAAGTTTGAAAAATCGACCATTTTTTGCCCCCAAAAATGCACCATTTTTCGAGTAAGTTGCTTTGAAGTCTCCTCGTTCTGCACAGGGCTGATCAAATCTTTGATTACTGCGAATCTTGTTGGGGTAATGCCTTACACTTCTTTTGGACCCATCACCCAGGCGTGGCGATCCCCGCAGAAGCGACGCCAGCTGCGAAAAGAAATGCAGTCAGTTGCAAGTTCGACTGCTTGTAACTTCTGAGCGCAAATCGCCAAACTCGAGTGCAGCTGCGGGTCAGTAGTCAACAGACTTTTCAATCAGATCACCCATGATTTGGACGAAATTCTGTGAATTGCGCAAAAAATGGCCGCAGAAAGAAAAATTGTGAAATTTTTGTGGTGAGAAAGGTTTGCTTTTTTGATGTGCAGATCAGACATGTTCTGGCATCGATAAAAATCAAAAGCGTTTTTGAAAAGTTTAGGCTTCCCGCTACTGAACGGTATAAAAAACTAGTCGTTAAAGTCCGACCGAGCGCCGAAAAAATGCGTTTGAAAATGAAATTTCCAAAAGTGCCCGGGAACTTTCTTTACAACCTAATATTATATTCTCGGGCAGCATTTTTGACAAATGCTACTTCTTTGAAAGCTTCTTGCACGAGAGAGCACCTTAATTACCAATTATCTTTGAAAATCAATTTTTTACTCTAGAAAATATCGCAAAACTTGTCGTACTGAGCAATTTGCAAGCAATAGTTTGTAGATGTGATCTTTGTTTTGACAGGAGTTTGCTTTTTTAAGACATTATATTTTCAAAAACAGAACTGGAAATACGCTTATTATGTTGATAAGAAGCATAAAAACTGCTGTACAGTCTCCAAGAATTTTTTTTTTTGAAATAGAGAAACTTGTGGGTAAAATAACTTTAGAAACATGTACCAACTGCACATTAACGTGATAATTCTGTGAAGTGGTGAAGGCATAGCTTTATTCTGAGGCTAAACATGTGCAGGATTTTCTTTTTCGGTTGATAAAATAGAAGTTTCTATTTCTATTCCACAACTTAATGATATGCAAACACAGCAGGAAAAACCTGTTCACTACAAAAATGGCTTTGCCGAAATCATTGGGTTGTCTCGTGATTGCTTTCCAAATTTACCAAAATCATCCCCTTGCTTTTTCTTCTATTTTCTTTTAACTTTACTAGCGAACCACTAATCTAAAGCTGCTATTTGGGAGCGTTCGCTTCGGGACCCGCCCTCGGTTTCCCACTATATGATGTTTTTTGAATTGGCGTTACGATTCTTTATACAGGTTTTCGTATGTATACACTGTTTGATCATTAATATCTCTGTTCTCTAGAAGTGTTTTGCTTGCCTTCAGGTACCGTTTTGAAGAGCAGGCTTCAGCTTAGATTTACAGTATGGAGGTCAATTATCTTCGTTTACTACTGTAGGATTACGGTAAGAACATCAAAAGTGTTTTAAGCCATTAAAAGCACTACATCGCCTTAGAAACAAACCAAACCATCTGAAAACTCTTACACTAGGGTAATTAAAGTCGCTAAAACCGAATATGAACTTTGTATTTGACCTCGACGCCTCCTCCTTCATGCCCCTAAACCGTAATAGCTGCTTTTACGATGGTCCCTAAAATTGCAATCACACCCTTTGAAAAGTTTACAAAGTCCTAGAAAGTTAAGTAATGAAATCAGTGGGCGTAAATTCCCTGGTACACCAATTTTCAGAATTTTTGGAAACTTTTCTTTGAAATACGACTAATCCACAATGATGCTGTAAGCCGAAAGTTCTACCATAATTTTACATTATCGAAGAGCGATCGGTGGTTTGCTGCATACTGTAAATCTAAGTTGAAAGCAGCTCTATAAACTGGTACCTCGAGCTAAGTAAAAGACTCTTTAAGAAGAGAGATATTAACGATTAAACAATGTATACATACTTTTGGAACACCTGGATCATTAAAAGATCATGAGACATCCCAATACTAAGGTGTTCCGAAAGTTCTGTCTGATTTGCAGTTTTTGTGGTTGAAAATGTTATGACTCTCTTCAGAATCAACATTTTTGCACAAATTAAATTTTGTTGGGTTAAGCGAGGTTACATCTATCACAACCATAGGTTACCATATAAGGAAGGTGAGCGAGAGAGAGAAATTTTGGAGAATTTGCAAAGTTTCCTTCAAAGCCATCCACTTTGACGTACAAAAGCTTCCACATAAGGATAAGCGGACATATTTGACTATTCGGAGGATCTTTCATGGCTAGAGAGAATTCGAGCTTTTTTCGCTGCACAGAAATTTTTGAGCAAATCAAAAAAATCCATTACCTGAGCCCTCCTCCGCGCGGTAGGTCGATTTTCTAATATTTGATTTTTCTTGCTGTTGCGAACGAAGAAAGCTAACTGGCCGATAGCAAGAAATCGGACAGAACTTTCAGAACAATCTAGTACTAGCGAAGCGCTTTTGGTCTATCCTCAACTTTTACTTTTTTCCAGTCAACTCACAATCATAAAAAACATGGTGCCTTCGCTATGCGTTTTAGTAACAAATATAATATATTCAAGCTCTAAAAGCAAAAAAGCCTGGGAAAGCGACCAAATGTTATGAAATATTTATTTGAATAAGCCGGTAGCATGTGGTGGCATGCATACATACTTTAACATCATGCATATAAAGTGTAGACCTTTGGCTGGATTTTTAGGATAGAATATAATTATTGGGTCGGAATTCTGTAAAAACTACAACGACAAAAATTCCTTTAATACGCTGATTCGTGGCGTTCTTGTACACATGTTACATTAAAAAATTTAATTTTTCGATTTTTTTTGACGAATCTCTAGCTTGCCTATAAAAAAGTTTTTTCAGACTTTTCCGCCTTAATACTGCTGCTCCAGAAAGCCATAAAGAATCTTAAGATATGGGTAAGCAAGATGAGAGAATTTTCAAGAAAAATGGAATTTGAAGTACCATTACAGATTTGCAAAAATGGTAACAATTGAAAAATTTCTAAAATTTGGTGCTGAGCTAAAAAAATATTGCATAACCGCCTTTCTAGCCGAAACCTTCAGGAAACCATAAATCTCGTACGCTTAGAGAAAATGCCATGTTTGGGTTTTTCATGGCTGACAACATAATGTCAGGTTTATTACCCATGGTTACCATTTCAAAATAGAAACCGATGATGCAGAAAACAAAAACGATGTACGTTGGAAGTTTTTGCTTTATGCTCCATGAATTTCTCGCATATGCAATAAATCACACTCGGGGGCATTTCTAAAGAGAGCTGCGATCAGATTAGAAAATAAGAAAAACCAGAATCTCTCATGAGTATGAGTAGTAGTTTACAGCTAGAGTATGACACTCAAAGCTAAATACTGATGTTCAGTGGATTACCGTAGTCTACCAAACTTCGATAAAAAACCGATAAAATCGACAAAGGAAGTTGATGCGGGAAAATAGGTGAGGATACTAACAGCAGTGGATAAATGCTGCAAAACACCTGAAAGAATCCTGTGGGAGGCCAGTGGGTCTCATATTCACGTTATAGGCCTTGGACAGAGTTCACGCGATTACATCAGCTCGCGATTTCCCGACCAGACAACAACTACGAGTGCATTGCACATCTTGCATTTCGTTTGTGATAGTTAGCCACGAATAGTGGTGTCGGAAAACTCTCACAAGCGAAATGCAAGATGATAGACATGCAATGGATTCGTAACTGTTGTCTGGTCGGGAGATCGCGAGGCGATGAAATCGCGTGAACTCTGCCCGAGGCCATAAGAAAGTAAAATGTAAAATAAGATCGTTTACAAGCGCAGTATCGCTGTGCAATTCACGAAACAATTTCGCCATTGCATAATGCAAGTGTTCGTGAAGACTCAAGAAATTACAGGTGAGAAAAATACTGTGTTCATCCTAAGACATAGCAAAGAGGTTATAAAAGTTCAGAAGATTTTATTCATGATGTAAAAATGGATTGATATCATTGATCTTCC